AAAACGTTGTCTCGCTGATATCCAAGGACGTGAGCGACGCGCATATCCGCGGGCTATCTGTAAACAAACGCTCAAACTGGTCGCTAAGCACGGTTTGGCATAGACTCATGTCGAGCACCCTCAGCCGTGTGCAGACCTTGAACACAGGCGCGAGCAAGTCATAGCCCAGTTTGTCCCACCGCCTGGCGACCATTGAAAGATCCAGCTCGCAAAGAAGGTCGCCGTAACACTGGTAATTACGCAGTGTGAACGGAACCGCAGCGCCGACGGATCTCGCAAATAGCTCAAACTGTTCTACACTAAGCAGAACGGGCATACTCCACAAGTGCGGAATAGCAAGCTGCCATGTCTGCTTTCGCACCAGACAAAGTTGTGCCAAGTCGTGTTGGTCCAGGTGTAATAAAATCTTATCCAGGATCAGCGAGTTGCTGATGACATGTGTTGCGGGCGTAGGCTTGTCAGACATTGTTAGCAGATAATAATGAAGCAATAGGAAAGAAAACAAAACGCGAATCAAATTCAAAAAATGACGCTTGGGTCGTTGTATCGGAGCCCTGTTGATTTGACTTGATTGAGTCGTTGTATTGGAGCTCCGTATGGGCACGAACTGAGGCCGCTGGTGCTAGCTTTTGCATCGCTTGATTGTGTTCCCTTGCAAACCCAAAAATGGGGCAGAGCTGACTGGCAAGCCCCACAAATAATGCACACCTTCCCTCACCTGGAACCAAAAACACACGTGGGCGATAAATGCACTCTATTCTATTCTCAAGCCGATGATTGCAAGCAAAAGAGAGCTCCGACTTTCTTTTCCGGAAGCTCCAGTCAGTGCTGCGATTCTTGCTCTCTTTTAAATTTATCCCCAACCCGATAGCAGCTAAAGTCTCTTTGGAGGCAAGTTTGATGCCGCGCTCTCTCTCCCCGTTTGCAGTGAGAAAGGAGAGAGGATGGCCGCCTGAAAATGTCGTCGCCGTATAAAATCCCAACCCGGTAGTGACAATGGCCACTCAGTCAGCCGCCGAAAAAATGGGTGGGGCAGTAAAGGAAACATATAAAAAGGCACGCTCTTCCCTGAAACAAAAAAAGGTAGCAGCATCTCTCTCTTCTTCTCCACACACAAATATTTATTTATTTTCTTATTTCAGTAGATTTAAAGCAACATGTCAGTCAGCAAGCCAACAAAAGCCAATGTCAATTTTTGTGGCAACAGTATTACACTGGAGTGGCAAATGCAAACAGTCAGCATCTACACACATGAAGTGGATGAAGATACACTACTATCTAGTGTAGAAACCTGTGTCGTGATTAGAACTAGCTGCGCGTTTACGGACGAAGCGGGAAGCAATGGATTGACAGACACTGAAGAGTTTTTCAACCTCCACAAAAGCGTGGAGGACATGTTGAAAGAAAGGCGGCTTGGGAATAACACCCAAATCGTGTGGATCAATAGGAGCGATGGCGTGGACGTCGTTGAAAAAACTGAGGTATATGTTAATAGCAATCTCAAGTTGACTTTGTCTAATGCTGACATAGCTTCAGCGCTCTCCGTGCATGCACAGTGAGGCACATAAAAATTAAACCTAAAAATGCTCAATAAGCTAACAGGCCCAAGAGCTATAGCACATATAGAATTTTTATTGTATTTAGCATCATCAAAAGCAATATAAAGTGCATCTCCTCCAACTCAGCGGCGGTTTCAGCGATGTTTCGCTCGCATGCGACCATTTTTTCTCCATTTCGCAAGCCGATCAAATAGGCTTGCTTTCTGGAAGAGTAAAACTAGGCTAGTTAGCTCGGAAAACGCGGGCGAAGCCTGCGAAAAGGGGGTCTAACTCAAATGGTAGAGTGCTCGCTTCGCATGCGAGATGTACAGGGATCGATACCCTGGTCCTCCAATCACATTCCTTTTTGCTATTGCTTTTTT